TTTGTTCGCGCTGCCCAGCGGTGCCTGTCTGCAGTCCTGAATAGGATCACATCCCGCAAGCAGACACACACAAGCAGGAGCAGTGCGGCCGAGCTCGCCCCCCCTACTCATTTCTCCCCCCAAAATCCTCCCTCCAGAGCTGTGGGGGTTTGGTTTTCCACCTCTCACCTTCCCCTCCGCTCCCCAAACCCCAGCCACCTGCATGAAGCTCTTGGTGCTGCTGGTTTGCAACCTCCTGCTCCCTCTGCACCGCCGGCCTCTCCGGCTGCTTCAAGTCCTGGGACCACGGCGGGGGGCTCTGCGGTGAGTCCCCCACCACCCCCCCATGGGGACCCCCCACTTCCACCCCGGTGGCACCGCAACCCTTGACGCTGTGCCCCCCCCGCTGTGCCCCAGAGGTGCCCAGGAACCCCTGCCGCATGAGCTGCAGGAACGGGGGGCGCCTCGACATGAGCAGCTGCCAGTGCGCCTGCCCCCCCGCCTACACCGGCAGGTACTGCCAAGGTGAGAGGGGTCACGCTCTGCTGGGTGCCCGGGGCCGGGGGGAAGCATGCTCTGCCCCCTGGGGTGGGCAAGGGGCTGCCACTGGCCCCCCCTTCCCTGGCTCAGGCAGCCCCCCCTTGCCCGCAGTGAGGTGCAGCGGGCAGTGCCTCCACGGAAAGTTCAGGAAGGAGGAGTGCTCCTGCCTCTGCGACGCGGGCTACGGCGGTGCCGAGTGCGGCAGTGAGTTTGGGCTGGCCCCCCCCCCAACCCCAGGAGCGGGGCGAAGGGTGTCCCCCTCCTTCCTGGTGGGGCCGGCTCTGACCCCCCCTGTGCCCCCAGCAAAGGTTCCGTTCCCTTTCCACACCTGCGACGTCCAGATCGATGGCGACTGCTTCATGGTGTCCCCCGAGGCCGACACCTACTACGGGGCGAAAATCAAGTGCCAGGTGAGCCCCGGGATGTTCCGGGTGTCCCTCTGCCGCTGAAAAATGCCACCCGGGGCTGGCAGCATCCCCCCCCCACCAGAGGGCCACATGTCTGGGGCTGACTCGGTCCCTTCCCCGCAGGAGAAAGGGGCGATGCTGGCCCAGATCGGGAACCAGAAGGTCCAGGACATCCTGGCTTTCTACCTCAGCCGCCTGGAGACTGGTAACAGGGTGACAGACACCGATTTTGAGACCGGGAACTTCTGGATTGGTGAGTGACAAGCAAGGGTGTGCTGTCCCTGGGGTGCGGGTGGCCGTGCCACCCCACCTCCCGCTCCCCCAGGTCTCACCTACAAGACCTCCAAGGCTTCCTTCCGCTGGGACGTGGGCGAGCCCTCCTCCTTCACCAGCTTCGCTTTCGGGCAGCCAGACAACCAGGGGTAAGTGCCCGCTGGGTCCAGAGGACACCCCCACCCCTGTGACGGTGTCCCCCACTGTGCCGGCCGTCCTCACCACCCTCCCACCGGGGCACAGGTTTGGGAACTGCGTGGAGATGCAGGCGGCTGCTGCCTTCAACTGGAACGACCAGCGCTGCAAGACCCGGAACCGGTACATCTGCCAGTTCGGTGAGTCCCTCCCCGAGCGGTGAGCCCCGCTGCCAGCCCTGCCCACACCCCTGGGTCCTTCCCACCATGGGGGACACTGACTCTCCGCATCCCCTCGCAGCCCAGGAGCACATCTCCCTCTGGTAGTGGCACCCCTGAGCCCGTAGCCTTGGGCACCGGCCAGTGCTGGCTGCTGTGCTGAGCCCATCGCCCAGGAGGACCACGGTGCTGTGCCAACAAGCCCAGACCGTGGCTGAGGAGGACCCTGTTGCCATGTCAAGACCAGACCATGGCTGAGGAGGACCCTGTTGCCATGCCAAGCCCAGACCATGGCTGAGGAGGACCCTGTTGCCGTGCCAAGCCCAGACCATGACTGAGGAGGACCCCGTTGCCATGCCAAGCCCAGACCATGGCTGAGGAGGACCCTGTTGCCATGCCAAGCCCAGACCATGGCTGAGGAGGACCCTGTTGCCGTGCCAAGCCCAGACCATGACTGAGGAGGACCCCGTTGCTATGTCAAGCCCAGACCATGACTGAGGAGGACCCCGTTGCCATGCCAAGCCCAGACCAGGGCTGAGGAAGACCCCGTTGCTGTGCCAAGCCCAGACCATGTCTGAGGAGGACCCCATTGCTATGCCAAGCCCAGACCGTGACTGAGGAAGAGTTGCCCATGGCTCCCCTACGTGGGGGACAGGAGGCTGAGGGGACCCATGGCACTGGGACCTGGCAAGAAGGGTGCACACTCCACACACCAGCATCCCCAAACCAGCGTCTTCTTCTGCCCCTCACCTTCCTCTGTTACTATCACGCTGTGACAGCCCGCTGGGCAGGGAGGTGGCCCCACAACAGCTATGTCCACAAGCATCCACCTCCTGAATTGGCAGCCAGGCTGTGTCTGGACTGTGGTCACGATGTGGCGAGGGCCCAAAGGGGGCTTCTGTGGGGCACAGGCGTCAGCACAGCTCAGGGTGAGGGCTCCAAGCCATCGTCCCATCCTGCTCAGGAACTCCAGCCTGGCACTGTAGGCTCCCCACCACCACCTGGTCCTTCCTCATCACCTGGTTCCTCACCATCTGTCATCTGGTTAATAAAGCCCCTTGCTCCCTTGGGAAGAGCCATTTGTCTCCTTTTCCTCCCCCAGACCCACCAGACTCTCCCACTAGCCATGGCCCACATCCTGCCCACACTGGGTGGTATCTCCAGCTCCATCCCTGGTGCTGGGGTTGGAGGAGCTGGGACCAGCCTGGCTCCTGGCCTAGCTCATGTCCCCGAGGGGGCACCATGGGGGTGTTTTGGTTAGCCAAGAGCCCACGGGCCACTGAGGCCAGGAAGGCGGGGGTCCAACAAGTTGGAGGGGACTGGAGGCAGGAGGTGGGGGAAAAAGTCCAGGGAGGATGAAGACGTGGATGAGGATGGGGAAGATGAAGGGGATGGAGATGGAGATGAAGATGAAGGATGAGGATGGAGGATGGGGATGGAGGATGAGGATGGAGGGTGGGGATGAGGATGGAGGATGAGGATGGGGATGGAGGATGAGGATGGAAGATGGGGATGGAGGATGGGGAGGAAGGATGAGGATGAAGATGGAGGATTGGGATGGAGGGTGGGGGGTGAGGATGGAGATGGGGATGGAGTTGGGGATGGAGGATGAGTATGGGGATGGGGGATGGAGATGGAGGATGAAGGACAGGGATGAAGGATGAGGATGGGGATAGAGGATGGAGGATGGGGTATGGGGATGGAGGATGGGGATGGGAATGGAGGGTGGAGGATGGGGATGAAGATGGGTGATGGAGGATGGGGATCACTCTGGAGGATGAAGATGAAGATGAAGGATGAGGATGGGGATGAAGGATGGGAATGGAGGGTGGAGGATGAGGATGAAGATGGGCGATGGAGGATGGGGATCACTGGAGGATGAAGATGAAGGATGAGGATGGGGATGACGCTGGAGGCTGGGGCTGTTCCAGCAGAGGGGAGGGGCATGGGCGTGGCGGGACGTGGTCGCCCCTCCCCCTTTCCCACCCCCCCTCCCATTCGGGGGTGGTGCAACCCTCGGTGTGTGTGTCCCCCCCTCACTTCTCCCGGCGGTGGTCGGGCCCGGTGGCGGCGCGGTGGGGCCGGGGCTGCGGGGG